CTACCCCAGAAACATTCTTTTATAGATTTTAATTATCACAAAATTACAAATAAATGGTATACAAGAAAGCCGTCTTCAGCACTTAATGCTGTTTATCAACAAGATTTTTTTTTTTAATGAGAAAATAAAAACTTTCTGAGGCAAATTTCAAAAACATCTGTTTTATTTCTCTAAGACTGCTTAAGCACAGGTGTTTCACAGTGAGAGCTGCTGCTATACTAAGGACATTTAGTCATATGTCCAATCTGATGATATAGATTAAGCCACAGAACAGCAACTCGAAGGGAATTTCAGTCATGAAATAAACACACTTCTCAGATGGTGGAAATAAGAATTAAATAAATGCCATGATAAAATAATGGATGGTAATAACAAAATACATAATGTAGAATACTTTAACTGCCCTGAAATTCCTTATTATATGTACTGTATATTACAGTTTGCTACTTAATAACAAACCAGAATAGATCACGAAATTATAGGCAGGAAACAAGCTACATCAACACCATAGCCATGGCAAAATCTTAAGCAAGAGATTATCCCATTTACCTTTCTTTCTACTGATCAATGCTTTTCAACACTGAAAATAAATTCTTGACCCACACTGAATGCTGCTGTCCCTTAGAAGTGAAGACAAGGAGTGAAGTGAGGGACAGCAGTAATGGTAAGTGAGGCATTTGCACAAACAATACATTTATTTTAATTTTATCATTACAATCACAAATGTTTAATAGCCTTTCACATCAGCCAGAGCTGTCCTGCAGTTATCACTGTGGGTAGGAAACAGCACATACCTGTCCAAGTCATGTGTATGGATTTGGCAAATACCATTGCACATACTTATTTTCACTCTTCTAATTTTGCAGTTTCTTGGGCAACTCTCCGTTGCTTTATACATCTCCAGTGGACTGCTCAGCTTAAGTTGCTTAACGCTGACATACAGACAGAAAGGAAGAAAAAACTTATTACTCATCATGTCATTATGTGTGTCGAGAGAGCTGAAGAACAAAAGACCAGCAGCTACCGTACTTTGTAAACAAAAGCTTCTCTCCATTCACCATGCTGTATTCAGAAGCAGATTTCAAAATTATTCAGTTTTACTCATAACAAAGTTTCCTCACATCTGAAAGGTGCCCGAGCATGTAGCATGGTGCAGGAAGCAACAGACTCACATGAATGAAACACACGCTCTACACAATTATTCAGCAACCAACATCCTACTGCGCTTTTTGTTCCTTCCTGGACACTATTTTCATAACAACAAGACTGGAGAATGGAGGAAGGAAATAAAACCCTGCATTATTTTCAAAAGTGGAACAGATGATGCTCATCTAAATGATGATGAGATTTGCGAGCAGTTGCAAGAAGAGAAGCAGTCCCTGGCTGTATGCAGCTATACACAGGTAAAATGGCGACACCCAGTGGGAGCAGCGCCGCATAAAACAGCTCCATTACGAGGCTGAAAAAACGTTAACCGAGAAGTAAGACAGCTTCATGTTTGCGCTCTAAAAAATGAATTAGTACTTACTTAAAAATAACTTGCCTATTTTTGTGAGCAGCTGGACTAAGCTGTAAGAACACCTGCTGTGAAGAGTTCTGCCACTGGCAGGGAAGTCCCAACAGACCCTAAATTCTGCTCTGCACGGCTCAGGGGCAGCACCGCAGGCTTTGCCCCCAGACAGCTAACATAGCTCCTGCAGCACCAAGCTGAGCAGGCAGATCCAGCAAACTAAGAAGGCATCTAAGAAATCAGTAGCAGAAAGAAGAGCAAAAAGGTGTAAAAAAAATATATATATATAAATAGATTAAAAAATAAGGTGAGGTATGATGTGTCTAAAGAGAGAGAAATGTGTAACATGGTAGGCTCTAACAGAAACATGTATCAAAGTACATTTCCTTATGCCTTAAGTAACCTTAGTTACTTCATTCTTAGAATAAAACAGCTTACCCAACAAATTGTTTTTTCAACTTTTTCTAGAAAATGAGTAGCCAGAGTCAAAATAAAGAGAAGCTACAAAGTCACTGAGCCACAGTTCCCTGGAGAGGACCATACCAGGGTCAACATACTGAGCCAGAGGCTTCTAAATTGAACTGTGGGCCTCTAAGAAATCACAGATAACCATCTACCCCCAAAAATAATGTGGTTTTGGTTTTTTGTTTTTTTTTTTTTGATGTGGTTTTTGTTTGTTTGTTTGTTTGTTTTTGGTTTTTGTTTTTTGGGGTTTTTTTTTGTATGGAATAATGCCCTGTTCAGGTACACAGATTGCTAGAAACCAGGTTTATTGTGCTCCTTCGCCTTAACCGGTATTACTGTATCATTTGTCAAGCTTCAAGCAAGAACTCACTACATCAAACTAATGGTTATGTGGACACGGATCAAAATCTTATTTTCCCCTTCTCAAAAGCTAAGGTGCCAAGAGACCATATTACAGCATCTCAGAACAGTTTGGGGCACACCCTTAGTATCTCCTCTGTTGATTTATGGAACATTTATCCTGCATAGTACCTACAGTTTATTTGGACCACAGAAAAAGGTGGGAGGGGGGGAAGGAGTACTGTTAGTGTTCAAGCATTAACTCATATGAATAAGCAAATAAATGCAACCATAAGCTCCATCTTGTATTTCTTTGGTTTTGACATTAGGCACAATGTACTTCTACTTTCCAGACCGAAAGAGATGCGTAAATCCAATTCTGAAGAATCTACACCAAAAACAGAGTACAGAAATAAAGAAAGGATGTAGCTGAAAAGAAGATAGTATGGACATTCCTTTACTTTTCTAATGAGTAAAACTCTTCCAGATTCTGAAGCTCAACATCATCACCTGGTTTTCTATAAATACTGTAGCACGCTTAATCTTCCTGAATTTCAGGCCTTTCGGCTGAACTCACTGCAAGTAAGCAAACTATCATTCCCAAAGAAACATTTCTGGGACCACAGCACATGCAGAAATCATAATTTGAGCTAGAAGAGCCCAATGGCTTTAAGGCACAGGCCTCAGGTGAACACCAGAGTGAATGTCATCACCCTGGGACACTGTAAACATCTGACCCTTTGGGGAAACAAACAGCCTCCTCTCCTACCTCATAATCCTACAGAGAGGAACCAGTTCTCTCAAGACACAGGATACAAGCCACCAACCTTCCCACTAGCCAAGCCTGACCCTACAACTTCCTATCAAGCCATCTGACAAAACCCAAAAGCCACAGAACACTGGCCCACAGCTCTGACTCTTCTAGTTCCACAAATACCCTCATTTGCTGTTCCCATTTTCCCATTACAATGAATGCTGTGAAGATGAACTAAATTTTATACTCAAAATGTATGGTGCTGTAGTATTACTTAAGAAAAAAAAAAAAAAAAAAAGTAATTTTCTTAAATACAGCAATTTTTCATGACTTGTGTTATTTCACATCCCTATCTGGACAGGAGTTTCTGCAGTTACATATGAAAGCCTCAGCATATAGATTTGAAGAATTTAGAGCAAATGTAGTTCTGTGCATTCCTCTCTCTCACAACTATGTCTTCAAAACTGCAGATGTTCTATTAAAAAAAAAAAAAAAAAACAAAAAACACAAAAAAACCACCTTTCCAAACTGTGATTTTTGCAATAAAAACCAGATGAGATCCAAACCTGTCTTTCCATCTACAGCTCGATAAAATCATTAAAACATACGGCATGAGCATTATCTTGCTGTCTCTTTTTTTATTGGATAGAATAACATTAAGCTCCCTTCATCTATTATATGAAGAGCAATACGTTTCAGGGATTTAAGCAAATGGTTTTTTTGTTCATTTGTTTGTTTGTTGTTGTATTTGTTTTCTTTTGTAACTAACAACTTTGGAAAAAAATAATTGATATGAATGAGAGAAATTAAAACAAAACAAAAAACCTCTCTGAGTTTGGGTGATATTCCATTTTATTTTCTAACGTTCCAGCTAAGCAGTTAACTCAAACTGCTGATCATTTACAATGACAAGAGCAAAATTCCACACAGTTTAATTCTAAGACTGTATTAACAGCACTAGCGCAAACAGAACCTACCACGCTTAATAAATGCACTCCCAGGTATAGACAACCACCTTGAGGTAACAATAGTTCTGAACTCAACAGTAACCATCACTTTACAATTACAGATTCTCAACAGTCTGCAACTCTCTTAAAAAATACATACTGTTTTTATATTCTGTGTGGTGAAGACCTCTTTATATACCAATGGAACTTGGCACCTCAAAAAAAAACCAAACCAAAACAAAACAAAACAAAAAAAAAACCAACCCAATTCTGTTTCATGGGACAGATGCTGAGATTTTTATTTCTTAAATTCACTTTTCTGCATGTCTGCAAAAGAAAGACACGATTAAAGTGCTTTTTAAGGCGCATTATACTGTTTATTGTAACTACTAAATAAAACTATTACTAGTACACAACATAAATAGTGGTTGAAGATGTAAATTTTACGTTCCCAGAACAAACTCGATAGTTGAGATGACATTCAGGTTTCAGCCTCTGACAGAATCATAGTATCATTTGAGCTGGAAGAGATCCTTAAAGGCTATTTGGTCCAAGTGCCCCGCAGTGAACAGGGACACCTACAGCTTGATCAGGTTGCTCAGAGCCCCGTCCAGCCTGACCTTGACTGTTTCCAAGGACTGGGCTCCCACCACCTCTCTGGGCAACCTGAGAAGGGCTGCTTAACTGGGTGACCCGCACCCCTGAAAAGGATGAGAAGTAACTGCTCTATAATACGCTATTCTCTACATGGACTACAAAACCAGCTAAAAACGTAGTGAATTCTTTAATCGCCTGCCTTCTATTCACCAAGTCTGATCCTATCCTCAGCGACAAGAGGTGAACTTACAGCTTAATACCCTTGCATCTATAAGAACAGCTCATGGAAACTGAGTTCCCGCTGCCCAGCCCGACCCACTACAACAGCTGCCACCCCCACCCCGCGCTGCCCGCTCCAGCGGGGCGGAGCGGCGGGCCCCGCCCTTACCTTCCCAGAGCAGCTGGCCGCCTTCCCGCCGCAGGAACTTGTACCAGAAAGGGCTGGCGGTGTCCTCGTCCGGCAGCAGCACCTCCCCCAACCACAGAACCGGCTCCTGGGCCGCCAGCGCCGCGGCCGGCCGGGCCGGCTGCATGGGCACGGCGCGCTGCGGGTCCCACTCGCCCAGCTCTGGTCGCGAGCCGGCCACCAGCAACGCGCCACCGCCCTCCGCTATGCGGGCCGGCAGCACCACGCCGAAGCGGAACAGCATGGCGGGCCGTGCCGGGCCGAGGACAGCGGGCAACGGGGTGGGGGGAGTGAAGCTGTGCCGCCGCCAGGGGCCGCCCCGCACCCTCACTTCCGGCGGGGGGACCGGGGCGGGCGGGGCGCTCCGGCTGGGACTTGGTGGGGACGTCTGGGAGTTGCCCGCGCGTTAAGGGTTTGTGTCACTCTCAGAGTTTAGGTATAGACTGACCAGGCACTCGAGCAGGGTCCTAGCGAGGTGGTTGGTCAGTGCTCAAGAGACCTTAGGATAATTACCTCATTAATAGGCTTTAACATTTGGTTAGTCCTAAAGCGGTCAGGCAGAAAAGTAGTCAGGCAGAAAATCTGAACTGCTGAACTGCTGAACTGCTGAACTGCTGTGCCCTACCCTACCCAACTCAACCTATCCGACCCTCTGACCGAACGGCATGGAGCTGTGTCAGGGGACAGGCGGCTGGGGGTTAGGGAAAGGTTCTGTGCCAGAGGGCGGTGGGCATGGAAGTGGCTGCCCAGGACAGTGAGCACGGCCCCGAGTTCAAGGAGTTGTTTCGTGTTGCTCTCATAGAGTCTGATTTTCTGAGGGGTTCTGTGGAGCCAGGGGTTGGACTCGGTGATTCTTATGGGCCCCTTCTAATTCGGGGTATTCAATGCATCTGTAACTCTTATCTCAGCAGGTAAATAATGAACTGAGGTTGCAAAAGGTTGCACGTTACATATATTGACTTTAGCAAGTGTTACTGCTTTGTTAAATGAAACTGCTGCAATTACTCTGGAGAGACTTAATTTAGTACAGCAAACACCTCATTAAATCACTGCTATACCTGCAGTGCTACAAACAGTCTCAAGGTTTGGTCCCAAGTAACGTGCTTAGCAGGATAGTTATACCTTCTCTGTGGGCAGGCAGACACCAGCCCTGGTGAGACCAGAAATGTGAGGGTTTGGGGGTGGGCAGCAGGTGGTAGACAGCTCTTTAAAAGTTCTGCAGCTCTGTATTGCCTGCATTCTGGCTTGCCCTTCTGGCTGTAATTTGGCAACTCCTACATGTAGCACTATTCAGGGCTTGCAAAGACTGAGGGAAAGGATGCGATCCAACCATTTATACGACAGTCCTTGTCTGAATACATCCATTTCAGAAGCATTTAAAGACAGAAACAGAGAAGTAATAACTTTATTTGGGTCAAGTTCTGGGAACAGGATGAAGGCCTTTCAGTGAATCAAAAGAAATCCTGCCTCAAAAGGTGGCTGCTTGTTTCCTGTGTTCAGTGCTGATGACATACTGAAGAGTATGTACTGCCAAATTTATTTTTAAGAATGCTTGAGCTCATTTTCACTGATCCTGATTCAACTTTTGTAAGTGATATGCCACCACTGTTCCAGACATAACCAAAGTGAAGGGGATTCTGGCAGTCCTCCATGCATTTCTGTTAGCACCAGCCCTTCTCCTAGCCCTGTTGCTTTCTTCCACAAAATCCTTGTTTCTACTCAACCTTACAGTCAAGCTAGCTGTAATCTATCTCATAACTGTCTTTCAAATATCTACCCTTGTAGCATACACTTTCATTTTAGTATTATGGGCAATACGGAGAGTAATAATAGACTTAGATTTTCTACCCCAAGCGTGACAGTAGCCCTAAAGGCATCTTCTGTCTACATAAAATCCCATAGAGGTGCTGGAGTCACCATCCCTGGAGGTGTTCAAGAAGAGGGTGGATGTGGCAGTGAAGGATGTGGGTTAGTGGTACGGTGGTAGTGGGTTGATGGCTAGACTGAATGATTTAGAGGTCTTCTCCCACCATAATAATTCTGTGATATGCAGCTGTTCATTCCAGGCACCATTTGAGCTAAGAAGCTGCAGGATCCAGCAACGCATCTGATAATTTAATTCCTGACTGTTAATGTAAAAAGACCAGCAGCATATATGTACCTTTAAGAAAGCTTAACTTCTTTATGTACCAAACCCTCATCATAGACCTGCAAGTGAAGCAATAAAAAATATATTTTTATTCTTGTGCAAAATACTAGCTGTAAAAATAATTCAGTCCATTTCTTCTCCATATTTCACCATAATTCATTTTGTATGCACCAACATTAGCTGTTGGATTAAGTTTAAAAATAGCAGGGAACAACATGCTTGAGTTCCTGCACTTTCCTCAAAAACCCACTCAAGATAAGCGTTGGGGCTGAGAGAGGTAGATTACTGTTTATTAGTTGTGGGTCACCAGACTATACCTCAAAAGTGAGGGGCAGTTTTGGCAAACTGGTGAGGACTGAATGTCTTGGATTTTCAACAACTTGGATTTTCAAACTGGATTGTTTCTCAGGTGGCTATAGGTTTTCTGACTGTGATTATTATACTGTAATATAGATATAGGGCTAACATTGAGAGATAAAACAAGAAAGGCTGAAAAGTGATTTATTTCTGGTTCCTGCAAGATTGAGATAAGAGCTAGAAGTGGAGATTCGCTGTGACTCTGGAGTTCTATGGGTTAGGAACAGCAGGGATAGAAAAACAAGTTTTTATTGATGGATATTACCAAAATGTGAGGTGTGGACAGAGTGAGGTTTGTAGACAGGATGATATGGGTCATCATTAGATCTAAGACATAGGATGATATGGGTCATCATTAGATCTAAAACTATGTAAGTAAGACTGTGTAAGTACCGTAAGGTTTGGCTTCAAGCTCAGAAGTAAATGGTTCACTGCCAGTTTTGAGTGGTCTATGGATTTCTCATCTCTAAACTGGTGTTTTATCAAAGAGTCAAAGGCTGAAGGGGCAATAGAGAGCATACATGTGCTACTGTAGTTGGATATTGTAGGAATTGAAAAAATACTTTCACTTTTGGGCCATTGCTATCAGCCTAAATGTAGTTTTACGCATGACCCTAAGCTTCCAAAGGAATTAATGATAAACCAGTTTCCTTTGCCAAAATACCTTATCCTTATACCACATGACCAGCACTCTTTCCCTGCAGTCTTTAACGCTGTTCTCAAACCTAAAAGTCTTTCCTTTAAGCCGGTCATCTTCAACAGCCACAAATGTCAACAGGACCATTCCCTGGTTTTGCTATATTAAGTCCCCCATTCCAACTTAGCATGGTTCCATCAAAAAGCCCATCTGATTCTGGTAATTGATACTGTGCCTTTGTGTTCCTTGTTGGCTCTGTAGGCTGTAGCACTAAACTCAGAGCTGCAGCTCTGTGTGCCTAGGCCTTCCACAAATCTAATAGTAAATGGCAATGCAGTGATGTTTGTGTTTTTTTTATGCTACAGAAATCCTTATGATTTCTTATACTGTCTCTTCCTGACATCAGTTGTTTCATGAACTCAGAGTTCTGAAACTTATTACGTTCATAAAACTTGGAAAGTTAATTCCTTACTTACAGAGGGAGAATTGCTGGCTGAAATTATAATAAGGACACTAACCAAGAAGTTTGACAGTCCACAATTCAGCTTTCTAAGTTGAATCTTCACCACAGTCTTCTTATTTGAAAAGTGTCTACTAAATATAGGAACAGAACATGGCAATGGACGCTTCTGAAGTGGCAGATGAACTTGAATAATTCCGTAGTAAGGCAGCCTCTGTCTGTAGCATGTATGTTCCTTAGTGATTGTAAACTTTTACACCCTGGGCCTGTTTGCTGCCTGGCACAGCTTTATCTGCTGTTGCTGAACAGTGATCTCAAACAATAATATTTCCAAGTAGGGAAATCTGTAGCGAAGGCAGAGATTGAAAAACAAAACCAAAACACAGATATCAAAAGGATCTGGTTGGAGAAGGGATGACATTTAGATGTGTTTTTCTTTTTTCCCCAATTGCACATTCTGGCTGATGTTTAGATTAGCTGTGCTCCTTCCTAGACTGGACTTTACTCCCTTTTTTGGTCATTTTCTTTCTTGTACAGATATTGAGAAAGAGTTATTGCGATTTGTAAATGTTTTCTCTATTTATAGAAAAGAGGCAGCACACTGTAAAAAGAAATCCATGTATGTTATGTGGTAAAATCTGAAGACAGAAAGAATTTTAAATACTTTAACATCCTATTACCAGATAAACACTGCTATTCCAACTTTTTCATTTTAGTTGCTGCTTCAGAGGAGTGATAACTCCATTTACTGTTTTAGCTGCTTAATGCTAATAGCAACCTTTTATGCAGGCTAAGCTAAGAAGTTGTAGTATGACTAACCATTTTAGGAATTGTGTTGGAAAATAATATTGAAATGATAGATGGGACACTGCAGGAGATTTTTATCATGTTTGCAGTTTTGTGTAGCATATTTCCTTACAAAAATAATAATAATTTCTTCTTTTTAACAGTAACTGGGCAGCATAAATATGCAATAACATTACAGTAACACATACAGAAATAACTGTTCTAGTTCAAAATCCAGTAAAAATGACAAGCCATCTCTGCATCCTTCCCAGCCTGAAATGTTTGAGGAGCACTAGAAAGTCCCAATATATTTCACCAGAGGGCCCTTTCAGTATGCTGTATCAGTTTCATCAATGCTCAAGATACCAACAAACGTTGCAGACAAACCCAGAATGCAGCTCAGTTCCTGCTTCAAGCAAAGTGATTCCCATAGCTCTTGGAGGGATGCTCTAGGCCAGCCTTATTTATTTCTTGTGGGACATCCGCACCAGGGAATCACAGAATTGCAGAACCATAGATTGTCCTGAGTTTGAAGGGACCCATAAAAATCGAGTCTGACTCCTGACTCCACACAGCACCACCCAAAATTCAAAGTCTGAGAGCATTGTCCAAATACTCCTTGAACTCCAGCAGCTTGGGGCTGTGACCAGTGCCCTGGGGACCTGTTCCATGCCTACCACACTCTGGTGAAGAACCTCTTCCCAACCCCCACCTGACCCTCCCCTGATGCAGCTCCATGCAGTCCCCTCAGATCCTCTCTCTGTCACCAGAGATCAGTACCTGCCCATCCTAACCCTCCCACCCACGTCCTTACCACTCACTCTGGCCCAGCACTCCCCAGGCTGCCTCTGTCCATGTGGGCAGTGGTTCTGTTCACACCCTGGAGTGCTGCCAGCTCCCAATGGG